CTAATTTACTGTGTTGTGAATGGCCTGCCTGTTAGGTGCTTGATGATTCCATTTCCTTGAGAGCACTTCATGGGAGCCTTGGAGAAAAGTTAGCTGCTGATGTCAGGTTCACCACCTCCTGCAGTTTTTCCTTTTGTTTTCTTCTCACCATGAACCTCTTGCTGTGTCTCATGAGAAGGGCAGCAGCACAGCACCTGTGGATTGGTTGTCCTTACAAATAGAGGCATGGTACTCCATGGTGGGGCGAGCCGGTAGATTGTAGTCTTTTCCTGCCTTCCATTCTGTTTTTAAAATTTTATCATTCTGTGTACTCTTTAATATCCATCCTCTTTCTCAATTGAGGATGCTTCTAGACCAGTGTGCCTGCAGTGCTAGAATCCAGACTAGTGCTTAGGAGACCTGGTCTCTGGATTTCATGACAGTCAGTGTAACCTCACAGATTTGCAAATAAAGAATAAGGGAAGGAGACCCATCCTACCATGAGTTAAGGATGCTTTGCAGCAGCACCTATGATAATGAAAACAGCTAGCAGTGTCCCAAAATAGTGGTTCCTAAATAAATATTTTCTGTCCCTCTATCTCTGGGTCTGGTTTTTGTACATTTAGAGATTTAGATTAGGCATCAGCAAACTTTGGCCCACAGCCTGCTTGTTGTAAATAAAGTTTTATTAGCACACAGCCGTGCTCCTTGGTACACACGTTGTCTGTAGCTACTTTTGTGCCACAGGTGCAGAACTGATTACGCTGAGTTCAACAGAGGCTATGAGGCCTGCAAAGTGACATTTATTACCTGGTCCTTTAAAGAGAGTTTGCTGATCCTGGTCTATACCAGATGATCTGGAAGGTTCTTCAGACTCTGAAAAGTCTGTGAAGGTGTAGCTGCTATTCCCACTGAGGATTAAAGTGCTGAAGATCATTTATCCTGTCTGCTCACAGTGGGCACTAGAATTTCAGGGAGAAAGATGGAAAAGCGGCTCTTATGGGAGACTAAGATACAGCAAGTTCCTTTCCAGGAAACTGAACAGGCTATCTGGAGTTCTTCCAGATTTGTTCCTGGTAGAACTCCATTCACACTGGAGATACCGCTGGGTGAATGTCGCTGTGTTCACTCTCCCTTCTCCTTTTCAAGGTTTGAGAAACTCTCCAAGACCCCTCTTGGTGGCCGGTCCCTCCAATACAGGAAGTAGCGACTCAGATGGTGGCCTTTTTGCCGTCCCAACAACTTTGCCACCCAACAGCCGACACGGGAAGCTCTTCTCTCCCAATAAAGAGACGGAATTGACTTTCCTTCAGCACCTGAACTCCATCAGCGTAAGTGCGGGCACTGCTCCCCCCTTTCCCTGCCCCCCTCCACCCCCGGCTGCCTGCAGACCCATGTGTGTGGAGAAAACACTCTCAGGGTGCTGTTTTCCTCACAGATGCAGTCGGATTTCTTCTTGCCAAAGCCCCGGAAGCTGCAGAACCGTCACCTGCGGAAGCCACTGGTGGTCCAGGTCAGGCCCCCCGGTCAGGTCTGCACCGGCCGGCCTCCCCGTCCCACTGACCAAGCTGCCCTGACACACTGGTTTTCTCCCATGTTTCGGGTATTCATGTGAAATGGGGAACCCCTACCCCTCTGCATTTTTATGCATAGGCTAAATAAAGTAATAACAGTGACCCCAACTGTACCTGAAAATAATCTTTGCACAACATCAAAACTGCTTGCAAAAAAAAAAAGTTCTGGGGATTCGAGTCCCACGTATGTCCCAGATTGGGATATATTTGAGGACTCTCAGAACATCTATTTATAAATACATAGTCAGTGGAGGCAGTTGGCAAGGTATATGGTTTGGCCAGAGGTCAGACCTCTCTGAAACACCAGGGGGACCCCTAGATGTCTCCTACAGACCAGAGGGGAGATCCAGGAATGAGAGGCACGCGAGAAATAGGGCAGTTTTATTCAGAGGCAAAATGATGAAAGAGATGAAGCTGGAATTCTGAAATGACTATGGATGTAGGAAGTTACACAACATGCATTGTTTTTGGATAATGCAAAGGTCTCCTTTTGTTAGACCCTTCAAAATCTTTTGAGACTAATTTATTTAGATATGAGACATTGCATGGAAGGTCTTAGCAAGGAAGTCATATTCTAAATCCCAAGTTTTTGGGTATCTATGTACAGACTACAGTTGACCCTTGAACAACGCAAGGGGTTAGGGGTGCTGACCAAAAATCCGTGTATAACTTTTGACTCCCCCAAAACTTAAGTTGTCCCTCGGTATCCGCAGGGGATTGGTTCCAGGACCCCCCACGGGTACCAAAACCGCGGATACTCAAGCCCCCTATATAAAATGGCGTAGAACAGTGCACACAGTCGGCCCTCCACATCCGCGGACTCCCAACCGCGGATCGAAAACAGTACAGGTATTTATTGAACAAAATCCGCCTGTAAGTGGACCCGCACAAGCTCAAACCCGCGTTAGGGCCAACTGTCAGTTAGCGTTAATGCATTTGGTTTTGGTGTATTTCGTGAAGTTACATCAATCCCCGCCCTGGCTGAGTGGGGAGCTCCATAGCCATTAGGTCCAGGGTCACAAACCAGGTCACCTGTGTGGCTTGTGATTATTGTTTTCTGTTTTGTTTTAAAACACTTTTATTGATATGTAATTCACATACTATGACGTTCACCCATTAAAGTGGCTTTTAGTATATAGTTTAGTGGCTTTTAGTATATTCACAGGGTTGTGCAACCAGCACTACTATCTAATCCCAGAACATTTTCAGCATTCTTAACAGAAAGCCCGGAGCCATCACCCACACTGCCCCGGCAGCCACGAATGTCCTTTTTGTCTCTGGATTTGCCTGTTCTGGGCATTTCGTATAAATGGAATCACATACAATATATGGTCTCTTCCATTTACTGTTTCTATGAAAAGTTTAATTGGCGCTTGGCCACCATTCTCCATTTCCCTGCCGTCCACAGCTGCTTTCACACCCAGCGTGGACATGAGTAGCTGCGGCAGAGACCATATGGCCCCAAAGCCTATAAAGTATTTCTCACCTGCCCCTTGGAGGAAGTGCATTTGCAGCAAAGGTGGCAGCTCCCGACCTTGTTAACAAGGCACCCCACTCACTGCCTCTTGGCAGCCGAGCATACCTGTGGCCCTTCCTGTCAAGGGTGCAGCCCCAGCAGCACCTCCTCTGCTCTGTGCCAACACCCTGGGGCGCTTCTGAGGGGCGTGGAGGTGTCTTCTGTGCATCAGCAGAGTCAGTTACGCACTCAGAGCCGGAGGTCCTTGGGACACTTTTATGTTGACAGATACTTTCTGCTAATGTTTTACTTCAATGACAGTTACAGCAATTAATCTAATTTCTTCAGATGGTAGTCATTCCATTGGAACTTCATTATTCACACNGTCGGGGCTGGGGCCTGAAGGGCCACAAGAGGTACAGGGGGAGGTACGGGGCTGCTGAGTGAGCAGAGCAGGGGCTGTGCTGAGAGAGAGGACAGGGGTTCCATAATTCATGGGAAGATCCCTGCAGGTGGGTATTGGGCGTGGGTGCCAGGCAAGAAAGAGGAGGAGGATGGGTGGTGATGTCACCAGGGTGAGAATGGTTGTCGCTGGAAAGGGGGTGTGTCTGCAGGGACCCAGGCATAGAGGCAGCGGCCTTAGGCAACAGCCTACAAAACCCCTGGGGTTGGGATTTTGACTCAGCAGAGGGCTCTTCAGCTGTGATTGTGATTAATTCTGGGTTATCTGTATTTCCTTTTTCTGACTTACAATCAGAAGAGGCCAGTGCAGTCATCTTAGTCTTGCTTTATGAAAAGGCGAATCACGGTCACTTGCCATTTAACATCATCTTCTGTCAGCTGGAGTACCCCCTGGGCGGGTGGAAGTGCCCACTCTCTCAGCTGTCAGTCCCTCTCTCTCTCCCATCACTCCCTGACGGTTTGCCTGTCCATGCGACCTGCCTGTGGGCAGTGAGGACAGAGGTTTCAGGAGGGAGAGTGGTGGTTCCCCTGAGTGTCTGCCTGACTGGTGTTTTTTTGTTGTTTGTTTTTTAATTTTATTGGGGAACAGTCATGGGCATTGGTTACACATTGCTTTCATGCTACAATGGCATAGTTGACTCTTAAGGAGGGCGCAGCTCACAGTGGCCCATGTGAGGATGGAACCTTGGTGTTATCAGCATGATACTCTAACTTATTGAGCTAACGGGTCACCCCCACCCCCACTTGTGGCTTTGAGCGCTGGCGCTGCTGAGCAACGCAGGGATGCCGACTTTTGCCACCATCAAACTGGGGTCTCTGGGCCTTTGTTGTCCCTCTGAACTCAGGGAGATCTTGTGCCTCTTGCTCTGGGGCACTCCTTCCAGAACCTTCGTTCACGGCTGAGTTTGGCCATTATTTTGGCCCATTTCTGTCCTAGGCTCCAGAAGCGAACACCGGCTCCACGGCCTCGGTGAGGCCCACCCAGGAGGAGCAGTCAACGACTCCCCCAGGAAAGGTGGTGACCATCAGCTCCCGGAGCCCCCGCTGCCCTCGAAACCAGTCTGCCCTCCGCAACAGCAAGACCTTCTCTCCCAGCTCCGCACCTTGCCCCTCAGGTGAGGCTTGGCAGCCACGCTCACCCAATCCCCACCATCCTGGGCGGCCCGCAAGGCAGGGCGGCTGTGCCCGAGCTGAGGTGCAGGGATGCCTGAGGCCTGGCCCCAGTCAGCCAGCCACGGTCCAGCAGGTGGGGCAACGGTACAGAACTCACCACCTCAGGGAAGGTGAGCCTGTCACCAAGGGCTTTGGGATCCTGGGGCCGCGGGAGCTGGCGGGAAATGTGGGGTGGCCCTTGCCAGTCTGTTCACTTTGGGGGATCTTGCTTTGTGAGGTCAGCAGAAGCCTCTATAACATGGTGAGTTGGTGGCTTAAAGTTTGAGAAAGCTTTGTTCTTTCTGAATCTTCTAGAAACTTTTTCTTCACATCTAAAATATTAAAGAAGCCTCAAATTAAAAAAAAAAATCAAATGTTAAAGAAGACTTTAGTCGAGGAATTCTCCAGCACTTTAACACAAGCCTTGGAAAGAGGCTGACCTGCCAGTTTGTGGCATTCCTTTATCCCAGTTGTATATCTTGGGAGAAATTTAACTTAATTGGGTTACTGAGTACATAAAACACCAGAATCAACATTGAACCATTTCCCTAAGGCATCGATTTCCCTTGCTTAGGATTTTTGTAATAAAACATGAATTATTATGGCTAGAATCATGAACTCCGTGTGAATTTTAAAGGGTAGAAGTAAGAAACCTGCCCGCGTTCTGCAGCCCTGCCCACCAGGCCCTGGGCGTAAGTCCATGCTGGGTGCATCGGAGCCCCGCTCCTTCCCCACACTCCTCAAAGTCCTCCGGCTTTCCCCGAGACTGAACTGATGTGATGGGGAGGCAGAAACTGAGTGCTGGAGAGTTCCTTTGTGTCCTGTACCCCAGAAGGCCCCCACACCAGACAGGAAGGGCGTCGTAACTGCCCGTGTAGGCAGACGTTCTCACTGCAGAACCTTGGACGGCCTGGACTGCGCAGGGTCTTTGCCATGGTGACCGGGGTGCATCATACAAGAAGCGGTCCCACCTCTGTTCTTACTCTGATCTAGACAGGTGCCCCAAAACCTGTCGTAAGTTTCTGGCTGAACAGACCTAGTGTCCTAATGTGTTAATGGTCTCTGGGATTATTTTCCATTCAGAGAGTGTCACTGCTTTCATGTATTCCCTAATTTACTGTGTTGTGAATGGCCTGCCTGTTAGGTGCTTGATGATTCCATTTCCTTGAGAGCACTTCATGGGAGCCTTGGAGAAAAGTTAGCTGCTGATGTCAGGTTCACCACCTCCTGCAGTTTTTCCTTTTGTTTTCTTCTCACCATGAACCTCTTGCTGTGTCTCATGAGAAGGGCAGCAGCACAGCACCTGTGGATTGGTTGTCCTTACAAATAGAGGCATGGTACTCCATGGTGGGGCGAGCCGGTAGATTGTAGTCTTTTCCTGCCTTCCATTCTGTTTTTAAAATTTTATCATTCTGTGTACTCTTTAATATCCATCCTCTTTCTCAATTGAGGATGCTTCTAGACCAGTGTGCCTGCAGTGCTAGAATCCAGACTAGTGCTTAGGAGACCTGGTCTCTGGATTTCATGACAGTCAGTGTAACCTCACAGATTTGCAAATAAAGAATAAGGGAAGGAGACCCATCCTACCATGAGTTAAGGATGCTTTGCAGCAGCACCTATGATAATGAAAACAGCTAGCAGTGTCCCAAAATAGTGGTTCCTAAATAAATATTTTCTGTCCCTCTATCTCTGGGTCTGGTTTTTGTACATTTAGAGATTTAGATTAGGCATCAGCAAACTTTGGCCCACAGCCTGCTTGTTGTAAATAAAGTTTTATTAGCACACAGCCGTGCTCCTTGGTACACACGTTGTCTGTAGCTACTTTTGTGCCACAGGTGCAGAACTGATTACGCTGAGTTCAACAGAGGCTATGAGGCCTGCAAAGTGACATTTATTACCTGGTCCTTTAAAGAGAGTTTGCTGATCCTGGTCTATACCAGATGATCTGGACGGTTCTTCAGACTCTGAAAAGTCTGTGAAGGTGTAGCTGCTATTCCCACTGAGGATTAAAGTGCTGAAGATCATTTATCCTGTCTGCTCACAGTGGGCACTAGAATTTCAGGGAGAAAGATGGAAAAGC